CTTTGTTTTTCGCTGGAGTTAATTGACTTATATGTAAGATACTGGAGACGATCGATGAGTACTCGGATTCAAGTTAAAAATCGGGAGGAAGGAGGAAAAAACGGGAGGACACAGACAAAATCGGGGGATGTTTACCTAAAACATGCGAAGTTTTTTGTAGGAATCGGGGGAAATCGGGAGAAAAAATCGGGAGATGATGAAAAATTACAAAATTAGAAAATCGGGAGATGGCAAAATTGCGCAGGAGATGGGTTAAAAAAACAGGAATCTCCCGATTTAAATCGGGAGTTGGCAACTGTGCTGTTTGCAAATTAAACTTATCAGAAACATTTTACATTTGCACATATGGCCTATGAAACATATATAAACCACATCTTGAATCATTCATAGACACATTTGAAACAAATAATTTTGCTAAAATTGTTTGATAAGTATGCCAACTGTATTTTAATAAAAGAAAGAATTACATGTATAAGAGTGCAAATTAAATGTTTCTTGTGTACCATAAGCCCAGTTAGGGTTGACTATTTTGTACGACAAGTGACACTATGGTTTAAAAATATGTATTTCATACCTACTGAGGTTCTAGGTACATAACGAGCGGGAATATATAGTGTATCTAGGGACTGGCATCCCGGTCACGCTCCTGAAAATTTTTTTTTTTTAATTTTTTTCAAATTTTTTTTCAAAATTTTTTTAAAATTTTTTTTTCAAATTTTTTTTTCAAATTTTTTTTCAAATTTTTTTTCAATTTTTTTTCAAAATTTTTGTCAAATTTTTTCAAAATTATTTTAACTTTCAAGTTTTTTTAAATTTCGTTTTTTCAAATGTTTTGAAAATCTCGCAAACTTTAAGACCAAGAAAACGCCTAGTACTTAAAGTATGTTTAATTTGGAATTTTGGATCTTTATAAGGTATGATGTACCTAGAACCTCAGTAGGTATGAAATACATCTGTTATGTACGGTCGGTTTTCGATACAGGGTTTATCCCGCGGGAAATATGTGGTCTCTGCGGTCCCTCGGGAGATACACATATTTCCCTTGGGAAAAACCCTGTATCCAAAACCTCCCAGTACATAACCCTTATGTATTTCATACCTACTGAGGTTCTAGGTACATAACGAGCGGGAATATATAGTGTATCTAGGGACCGGGATGGATACACGTTTTTTTTTCCAAATTTTTTTTCCAATATTTTTTACCAAATTCTTTTTTCAATTTCTTTTTTTTCATTTTTTGAAAACCTCGCAAACTTTAAGACCAAGAAAACCCCTAGTACCTTAAATAGGTTTTGGAATTTTGGATCTTTATAAGGTATGATGTACCTAGAACCTCAGTATGTATGAAATACATCTGTAATGTACGGTCGGTCGCGGTCCCTCGGGAGATACACACATTTCCCTTGGGATAAACCCTGTATCCAAAACCTCCCAGTACATAACCTTTATACCTTCTTAAGTCCTTGAATATGTAAATAAAATG